ACCATTGGTCAGAATAAACATCGAAACAAATACGTCGGATGTGTTGAAACTTGTTGCAGGGATCACAGTTGTGTCTATTACTATGATCCAGATATGGTTCATGAACCATTTTCGAAAACCAAATTAATTTTTTTTTTTATTCAAGGGTCCTGGGGGGGGGGGAGGAAATAAAAAAAAAAAAAAAAGAAGAAGTAATTGCAGTGTTTATTTTTTTCATTATATATAAATAAACCCATGTTAATTTTTGCAAATTTTTTACGAATCAAAAAACATCTTTTTTTTTTTAAAAAAAAAAAAAAAAAAAAAAAAGAACATAAAAAGTTTTGATTTGTGTTAAATCTGGCTGGCAAAGCTGCCATTTTCACACTTTTTTTTTTTTTAAATGGAAAGCGGTTTGAAAATCCTTTGATGAACATAATCTCCAAGATTAAACACAACAGAACGGATAGGTCACAAATCCTGAGATAAGCCTTGCATCCATTAACGTAGCGCAATAACTTGGCAAAGCTTTATCGAATTTGGTGATTATACACTGTTGACTGTGGCAAGATTATACACTGTTGACTGGGGTAAGATTATACACTGTTGACTGGGGTAAGATTATACACTGTTGACTAGGGCAAGATTATACACTGTTGACTAGGGCAAGATTATACACTGTTGACTAGGGCAAGATTATACACTGTTGACTAGGGCAAGATTATACACTGTTGACTGGGGCAAGATTATACACTGTTGACTAGGGCAAGATTATACACTGTTGACTAGGGCAAGATTATACACTGTTGACTAGGGCAAGATTATACACTGTTGACTAGGGCAAGATTATACACTGTTGACTAGGGCAAGATTATACACTGTTGACTAGGGCAAGATTATACACTGTTGACTAGGGCAAGATTGTGCACTGTTGACTGGAGTAAGATTATACAGTGTTGACTGGGGTAAGATTATACACTGTTGACTAGTGTAATATTATACACTGTTGACTAGGGCAAGATTATACACTGTTTACTAGGGCAAGATTGTGCACTGTTGACTGGGGTAAGATTATACACTGTTGACTGGGGTAAGATTATACACTGTTGACTAGTGTAATAGTATACACTGTTGACTGGGGTAAGATTATACACTGTTGACTGGGGTAAGTTAAGAGCTTTACACGGTTAAATAATAAATAAATCAGTCTGTTCCACAAGGGCTTCTCAAACAATGTAAAGAGGTATACAAGTTGTTGCGCTCCCCAGAGCTCTGCGAGAATAATAAAATGTAGAGACCCACGGGGAAAAAAAGAGACACATTTAAGCAATCAGGGAGACGTGTAATAAAGAGAATGCAAAATTTAATTTTACCAAGTATTCCAAAGAAATCTTTAATAAATCCAAATTTAAAGAAGAAAAAAATCACTGACTATTCAACAACGTGTAATGTAGGAATAAGGAATAAATGCCGTCGCAATGGATAGCAATGTTGCGTCACAAGATGTCTTTTTATAGAGTTTCCTTTGGTGGTTGGGGGGGGGGAAGGGGTGTGCGTCCGATTTAAAAGTTGCAGTAGAGCGGGAAATGTAAAAGGGGAGATATAACACTGTATACATCAGGTCTAGAAACGTCATTCAGTCTGCGTTGATGAATTTAAACCAAAAAAAAAAAAATCTAAGTGGACCGTACCGTAAAAAGGGGGACTGGGTCGGACATTCTTAGCAAAGATCTTCATAATTATTAATTATACTTATATTTTTTAGCAATTCACGGCAAAGGTTGGTTTCACTACCACCACCATTGGCAGTGATGTTCGAATTATTTATTTTTAATGATGATGATTATTTAATTTTTNGGGGGGGGGGGGGGGGTGGGGTTGGTCACACTTGACCCCTATTACTAGATATACGTTCTATGTCACTTATTTTCTTAGTATATTTATTCCACCTTTTCTTAATATTTAATTAACCTTTTTCGTAAGATTTATTCCACCTTTTCTTTATATTTATTTCTCCATTTTCTTAATATTTTTCTCAATATTTATCTCAACCTTTTATTAATAATTAGTTCACCCTTTGTTTCGTGTCTGCAACTGCAATTAACTTGTGGGTTTATCTTTTGTGATTGTCTCCCGTATCATAATAAGAAGAACAAATATCATGACGTCATGTTGTTCGCCCCTAAAATAATGTCTTTTTACTTTTTGTGTGCACTGTTTCACTTTTTGGAGTTCCCGTGTCATATACGTTAAGAACCGTCCGTACTTTCAATCTTCAAATTCCTTTTTTGAACTACGATAATCCTGGCTGCTTAAGTAACTCTCAACAATTACATCTAGGGACTTTAAGTATGCTCCCTTCATGTCTTAAGCAACAGTAGAAGTACAATTGTAAACGTCTTGAACTCAAATCCTCTTGCCCCGAGGGCATAGCAGTCTACAACTCTTCTACAGTAGTTCCATCATCTGTCGCCTGGTTTCAGGTTAAAAAAAGGGGATTTCGTCTGTAAGATTATGGAATAGCAGAAGAACTCTCTGATGTCGAGATGTGAGAGCAATATATTCAGCAGATCACCTCAAACCTTTCATGATGTTCCCCCCGTGGCCGTCGTTAAAAAAAAACAACTTGAGTGCTGAATAATTTATGTGTCTGAGGGGCGTGATACCTAATAACATCGATCGGAAATCTAATTGAAACAAGAAAGCACGCGACTGACAGATGACACCGGTGTGGATTGAAAGATGACGCCGGGATGATTGAAAGATGAAACCGTGTGGATTTGAAGGATGGCGCCATTGTGAGTTGAAGATGACATCGTGTGAATTAAAAGATGATACCAAAGTGAACTGAAATATGACAACGTGCTTGTTGAAAGATGACATTGACAACGTGCTTGTTGCAAGATGATGACACGGTGTGAACTGATGAGATGAAACCAGGTTCAGCTAACATGGAGCTAAAATATATGAAAGTACAAGCTGGCCTTGCGATATATGTTTTTTAAGTATTTTTTTTAAACATGGAAGACTCCACAACTGCCATTATTGATTCGATTAAGATTTGTTCATGGTTCTTGTCACTCCCTTTGCCACTATATATCACTGCAGGTATAGCCAGCCAAACTGAATGAATGACTTTTTTATGTTGATGTCGTGAGACGAGGGGCCAGCGCATACATTCTATCGAGATATAATATGTGATGGCGCCTTCTGAATTCAGATGCACTTCAATGCAATGGCGTATCGAAGAAAATGGACATGGGGGGGGGGGGGGTCGTCACAACTCTTAAGTGGTCACTCACACACAAATAAATGATTAGTGTGTGAAAGTAAACTTCCAGAAACTCGACATAAGACATCTTTTATTTCTCCATTACTTAAAAAAATTAATAAAATACAGCATAAGAAAACATGACCGAATGATTTTGTTGATTGGAGTTCAATAATGATACTCTTGGAAGCAATATTTGGCTTTCCAAACGTTAATGATATTATGGATTGGCTCACCGTCTCGAAACAATTGAGGTGCCCAGCAAGTCTGTAGCAAGACCATTCTCCGAATAATTGTGTGGTCAGAATAACTTTGAGTTCTTCTTTAGTGTACGTTTCCATGGGCATCTCTAAAAAATTTTTTGTTTTTCCGAACAAGGATCGGTCTAGCAAGCCACCTACAAGCTCACCACCCTAACCCCCCCCCCCACCCTAACCGGATGACTTGATGGTCCTAGTCGATTTTGACGGACGAACAACAACAACATTTAAGCGTGGACTATTGTGTCGGCAAAGGACGGACAGAGGGTCGCAACCATAACTGTGACTCTTTGCCCCTCTGGCTGATAAGAGGACGATTCTCTCGCCAGCGCTCCTCTTTACCTGAACTATTGTAACAAATCAAAATTCAGCATCACACGTTGTATTTGACCGCCGGGTTTAAAAGCGACAGGTAACTGGGTGCGTTCATTTTGTTTATGACCATAGGAAAGATGTATTAATAATAAAGAGGAGCCCATGGGTCCTAGACTTGACGGACCGTGTGCTAGACACTCACCGCCGCTGGGCGTCACAGCTCCTCCAATCAGTTGTAAAGCTTAACCGGTGAACTAACGTGATCTCCTATCTATGACGTGATCTCCTATCTATGACTTGATCTCCTATCTATGACGTGATCTGCTATTTAAAACGTGGTAATCTGTCTTGGCGTTAAATGTTAAAAAATACGGTAATATTTCAGAAAATGAATACGAAACAGCTGATACATATCTCTGACGTATTGTCCCGAGTCCGACACCACTTCTCTACTTAAACTTCGGCTGGGTACATAGTCTGGACTACTTACTCAGATTAACTTAGCCCTGTTAAACTTAGCCCTGTTAACTTCATCCTGTTAAATGTGTCCTGTTAACTTAGCCCGGTTAACTTAACCATGTTAACTTAGCCCTGTTAACTTAGCCTTGCTAACTTAACCATGCTAACTTAGCCATGCTAACTTAGTCATGTTAACTTAGTCATGTTAACTTAGTCATGTTAACTTTGCCCTGTTAACTTTGCCCTGCTAACTTAACCCGGTTAACTTAACCCTGTTAACTTAGCCCTGTTAACTTAGCCCTGTTAACTTAGCCCTGTTAACTTTGCCCTGTGAACTGAAGAACCCGGATGCTCCTTCCAAAAAATGTAATAAAAGATTATTTCTGTATTAACTTTTGATAGTTTGTCACATGACTATTTAGACCTTTGATTGGTTGTCACATGACTATAGAGACCTTTGAACTTACAATACAAATGAACCCGAGCCTTTGAATCAATAAGTCATTGGACTCTAGGTTGAGAACCCCTGCTCTAGATCATGAGCTCAGTTTGGTTTCTGGAGTCGTTTACCGACAGCCGTGGCTGTCATTTCGACTCCAACTTAATATTGATACATTTATACCACTCAGAAAAAAAAATTAAGTCATACTCCATTACCTGTGGCCGGTTAAAACTTACCCCCCCCCCACCCCAATCCCCCCGGCGTGTGTGTCTGTCGTTCCAGGAAACTCAAAGAAGAATTGGACAGTCTCCAGCAGCAGCTGGCCATCAAGTCCGTCACCCGCACCCAGGACAAGAAACTTGTCGATCTCCGCCTGTGCCGGCTGTGCTTCAAGACGAAATTTGCCGACGGCGTCGGTCGCGTGTGCAGCGACTGCCAGCAGAGGGTGTGCCCCCAGTGCGGGGCCTTCTCTAAGCCCAAGTGGAACGCTAAGAGAAACAAGGTTAGTCGGTGATCTCAAGGCAAAGTTTGAAACCCAAAAAACAACCCACCGGACAAATGATTGATAGTTTGAAAGAGTTAACAATTTATTGTGCGATCAGGACGTATGCAAGAAAGGGGAGCTTCTCCTCAGCAAGGAAATGAACTTCTTAGAAAAAAAAAAAAAAAAAAAAAAAAAAAAAAACACCCCCCAACAATTTTAACGGGGGGGTTGAAACCGACCCGGCCTTTAGGTTTAAAAAAGCCCCCCCCCCCAACCCCCTTTTTTAACAGCAACACATGTTTTTTCATCTCCAAATGCGCCAGGTGCGCAATTATAAAGAAGGGATTTCTCAAAAGTTTCACCACCAGCCAATGAGCGACTCGATGGCCATCATGAGTTGAGCTCGGGGGCACTTAAATGGGCCAACACTAATGTCCTTGTGAGCCTTAAATGGCCTTTATTTTTTTCCTTTCCCAAGATGCCACAAATTGCCTTCATTAGTGCCCCAATAAGCATAAAAAGGCATTCATTAGTGTCTCAAGGCGTCATAAAAGATCTTCATTAGTCCCCATGTGCCTTAAAAAGCCTTCATTAGTGTCCCAAAGTGCCACAAAAGGCCTTCATTGGTGTCCCCATGAGCCTTAAAAGGCCTTCATTAGTTTCCCAATGTGACTTCGGACTTCAACAATAATATTTGTAGACAGTATTCTATTAATTGAATTTTTTTTTTGGGAAAGAGAAGATACAAAGATAAATACTATTTGTCTCCCCAATAGATTTTAATATGCAAATATAATATAATATTATATATATATATATATATATATATATATATAATAT